TAATAAAAAACAATTGTTGTGTGAAAGATGAGTGTATGGAAGGGCCAAACGTAAGACGGGCATGCGTGCCTAATTTGTGACCCTTTGAAAATGAAGTTCGTTCGTTCAACCTAAGTTGTAACTGCGTTGTTTCCGTTTACAGCATGGCTGCGATAATTGAGCCTTTCGGCCGACCCAGGCATTTGTTGAACGGGTTTGCCTTCCCATGTATTTTTATTTAATACTCAACTGTGTGTTTTTATGTATGAACTTGCTTTATAGATCAGTGACAGACGAATGTTTGGAAAGGCCAAATGTAAGGCAGACCTGTCTGCCTGCCCAGTATGTGACAGACATGAAGAAATAGAGTTGAGGAGAGATGGAGGGAGAGAGGAGAAGGAGAGAGAGATGAAGAAAGAAAGGTCGAGAGAGATAACAGACAGACAAAGGAGGGGGGGGGGATAAAGATAGATGTGGAGAGAGAACAGTAGGGAGAGATGGAGGGAGGGAGAGCTCTAGAGAGAAAAGTAGGCGCAAGCTGTGTAGACACATAAACTAGAAATGCTCAAGCTGTGTAGACACATAAACTAGAAATGCTCAAGCTGTGTAGACACATAAACTAGAAATGCTCAAGCTGTGTAGACACATAAACTAGAAATGCTCAAGCTGTGTAGACACATAAACTAGAAATGCTCAAGCTGTGTAGACACATAAACTAGAAATGCTCAAGCTGTGTAGACACATAAACTAGAAATATTTCTTTAGTCTCAGCTCTTGGGTAAACATGGATTGATTGGCAGTTCAATACGAGTGGACTTCCAGTTTTGGAGTTGAGCTTAGTTGAGTACATAACTAATTTAGTACTCGGGACATTCCCATATGTGCTGCATCCTTATCTTTAGCAGCCAACACAGTTTTAATGCTGATGGTATTCTGAGAAAAAGTCGGCACAGAACCAATTCTGGATTACATACGAAGACAGCAAGTGAAATGGTTTGCCCACTTAGAGAGAATGCCTTGTGACACCATACCATACAAAGCATACATGGAAAGAGAAGAAGGACGTAGAGCATGAGGTAGACCAAGAACAAGATGGAAGGATGACATCAGAGAAACTCTACAACAGCACGATGTGCCTATGGTCGAGGCGGCCAGAAGAGCTAGAAACAGAACCTTATATCTCCCTCGAAACTCACAAAGGTAAAAGAGGAAGTGAAGAAAAAGAAGGTATTCTGAGTGTTCAGTGTCAGCCAGATTCCCTGGTCACTCTCTTTGACACCATTGTCTTCAGACCATGCTGATTGAACTGTGCATCCAAAGCGTTCACTTGCTTCTAAATGTCCTTGACAACACCCAGCTTGTCACGCATTAATTTACCATCAAGTTGTTATGAGCCAGCGATTCTGTCTGCTTTTTCCTTTCACATTAAACCTGCAAGCCCTGCAGAACATATCCAAAGGACGCTATCTACCAAGGACCTCTGAAGCTATGCTTGCCACTCTGCACAGAGTATACCTGCCTCCACCTTTCTCAGCATACTTTGTGAGTTAGTTACAATCATGTGTGTGCAGCTGATTCTCAAGCCAACAAAGGGATGAAGTAATGCAGTTACAGTTTTGGAGACCCTAGTCCCCTAGAGCAGTAGTTCTTAAACTTCCTTATGCTGCAACCCTAGAGTTCCTCAGTTCCTCATGTTGGGGTGACCCCAAACCATACAATTATTTTCATAACTTCAATAATCATGTGTTTTGCTGTGGCCTTTGGCGACCCTTGTAAAAGGGTCGTTCGACCCAAAAAAGTGTCCCGACCCATGGGTTGAGAACCGCTGCCCTAGAGGGTAGCAAGCAGTTCTACCCATGAGAACAACACTGCTGAACCTACCCTCTACCTGGTCAGCAACACAATACAGATAATGACTTCAGTCAGTGGACTCACAGCTGGAGATAAGTTCAATGATCTTCACAACTGAACGTATGCTCAGACGTTCAGGAAATCTATCCTGAACAGTCGTGGATACATGCTTGTACAGACTGATCAGCAACCAGTGCAGTTACAAATGGAGGTGCTGGCATCTATATCACATACCCAGATAACCACCAACACACAAATTATATACCCACTGGTACGTTCTGTTCTAACTACACAGCAAAGATCCTAGCACTAGAGCAGGCTGCCAAAATGTTACACAACACTGGTTCGAACTGCCACCAAGTGGTCATCTTCACAGATGCGCTATCAGTGCTTCAAGCTCTCAAGAGTGGCAAATTCATTCACTTGAGATCTGAACTTGGCAAGGTGGCTGTTCAAAAGTGTACTGTACTCCAGTGGGTGCCATCCCACTGTGGTATACCAGGAAATGAAAGCGCAGACAAACTTTCTAAGAAAGGGCCAGAATGTGAACAGGAAGAGAATGCAGTAACATACTTTGAGAAGAAAAAGGCCATCCAGTTTTCCAGAAGTGAACAGAATCTGGTCAGAGTTGCCTCACTTACTTGACCGGCAAAGGCAGTTCATTATTCTACACCTCAGGACAGGACATAACAAACATAACAAGCATATGCAGAGGCTTCGTCTAAGTATTTAACCACCGGGCCCGTGTGTGTTGTGTGTGCAGACTACAGAATAGAATGTCCCTTGCACAGCCCATTAAGAATGGAATACTGGCCAAATAAGTCAAAACTGGGCTCTCCTTTCAACTACGGCCGGTAGACAACAGTAGATGGCCGGTTAGTCAGAGTTCTGTCCCCTTGCTGCTGTGCAATTACGGAGTGGAAAGGAGGGAATGAAACAAATGATATAATTACTGTGTGATGGCGATAGCGTGCACTGCCCTGCTATAATCATACGGTTACGGTTACGGTTAGGGCTAGGGTGTGGGTTAGGTTTAGGGTTAGGGTTACGGATAGTGTCGCCGCATCTCGTCTTCGCACAGACTCATAGTAGCAACCCAAACCCCAACCCTAAACCTATCCCTACCCCTAACCCAAACCCTAACCATATGATGACAGTAGGGCACTGCACGCTGTCTATCGCCAACACACAGTAATTATGTCACTTGTGTCGTTCCCTCTATTCCACTCCGTAATGCGTCGCCAGAAGCGGTAATTGAACGCGGTCGCTAATTTGAGTCGCAGCGCGGGGTCTGCCAGGCATGTCGACCTCACTGTGTGTTCTGATTCGTGCTTTCTCCAGTCCGTAATTGCACTGCAGCCAGGGGACAGAACTCCGACTAATCGGCCATCTACTGTTTTCTATCAGCCGTAGTTGAAAAGAGAGCCCAAAACTGTAATCAAAATTCTATGGAACTAAAATGAAACTCCTAAGAGGAGTCAAGTTTATCACAAGAACTTGTCTGTCGGTGTAAATCAGAAAGCGAACACAAAAAGAAGAAGAAGGAGACCCTATTCAAGACAAACAGGTAAAAGAATCTCAAACTGGAGACTGTCACCATGTTGTTTACTTCCCCCTACGTTACTGCGTAACTCAATGTTTCTATAACTACAGCATCAATCAACATCTCAACTCACAGACTGTTGCAGATAATCTTGCATTCATTAACTTGAAACTATCATAGCAACTGCTGTACCACTTGATTGGTGTGAAAGCTGATACTAAAATATTCTAATTTTTCTGCTATCACTCTAAAAAAGGCAGCTGGCACATAGTATTGTAGTTTACAGCTAAGCTGCAATATTTGTCCCTCTTGGGATACTAAAATGAGATTTAACTTTAGAATTCAGAATTAAAAACCAACATCGCAGCACTTAAGATATTCACATAAACACTTCGTTCCCACTTTCAGCAGCTGATGCAGTTACAATACTAATGGTGCAAGCTGTAATCATATGTTCATTTTGCCTTTAGATTTTCTGGTCACTCCTGTGTGGATCATTCTTTCCAGGCTAAGATGATTTGTCCCTGGCTTCCAAAGTACCTTTATTTCATATGACTTGTATAAAATTAAACTATTTGCAGGGTTTCATATTACTATGTGAGTGTGAACATTCTAGCGTGAAACTAAAGCTTACAAAAAGCAAACACTGAAAGGAGGAGAATGTTGTGTAGCTTTATCTATTTATTTCCTCTTACAATTGTCTCTGTCATCACTGTCATGTAGCAGGCTACTTATAGAACAATGTTCTCATTGCAGATAAGGATCCTATGGAGAGGGGAACGTCACGGACCAGACTGACATAAACATACTCTACAAGAAATTAGACATTTGAAAGAACCAAGTGATGACTGTGAATCTGCAATAATGATCAAACTGTAAGAATCTGCAACCATAGTCAAACTGTAAGAACAGCAAGTTAACAGAGGTGTGGCCAGACAATAGCACTATGCAGGAAGCCAAAGAAAACAAATTAACTAACAGAGTACTGGTGTCAGCAGTCGCTATACTGTGGGATTTAATCAGGAGGGGAGACAAGCGTGTACAGACCGAAGGGTGCAATGACGATGAACTGTTGCTTAACTAACTAACTGAGGCACGTGTCCCAGTTTCTTACCAGGACCTGGTATATAGACGATTTTATCCGACCAAAGATACCAATCATGAGTAATATATATTAATAAAGTAAGAGAATATTTATTGATCGGCACTCATAGAAAGAAGTACAAAGATACAAGAACACACTAGACAACATAAAAATCGAAAGCTATAGTTACCATGCCGGGAATCGAACCTGTAACCTCCAGATGGCATGCGCGCCTCACTATGGAAACAAGTGCACTAAGAACATGGTCAACCAGGCACCCTAAAAAAAGGTGTCTTATTGGCCATGTCTATCGTACAGCTTGAAACCCACAACTATGGAATACGGACAGAATTCATTTCAAGCCACAGAAATGGCACCATAGGTTATATAAATTTATTTTTGACAGTAGACCTCAATGCTTTGTCTAGAATACACAAACATTTAAGAAAGGTATTTGAACCTGTGACAAAAATATTAAACAAATGTACAGTCTTCATTTTTTTTAATTTTAAAATAATTTAAGTAGATCAAGCAAGTACAAACCTGGCAGAGCCTGCTCCTTTGTAATCATGACTGTTTTAGAAGACATTTCTCCCATAGAAAAAATACCAGCGCTAGGCCAGCGTACAATGTTGGTTACTAACAGCAGTCGTGCAAATCGTGACATCAACCTACAGTCATAAAGATAACAGTCAAACATACAGTGGCAAATCAAAGAGTACTGCAATTCCACTACAGTGACAGTTTGAGTAAACATAATAAATAATGAGCAAAAAAATCAACCTGAACAAAGAGCAGAACTAGTCGGCTACCTAATAAAAATACAGTCACGAATGACAAAATGAACATTGTGACTAGAGAGCTTTCCTCAGCGTGCAACAACATGGACAAAATGACAATAACTACATACAAATATTCTTGAAAAATAATAGACACAAAGTACTTGTTAACACAGTCTCGCCACAGATAGACCATAGACAGGAAGTGATCCAGAGAGATGAGACCGACAAGAGGTGAAGAGGCTGTGACTTGGGGGGGGGGGGAGGGGGAGGAGGGGGGTTATTATTTGATGCAACTGTATTGAACAGTGAGGTCAAGTGGAGATAAAGAACTCATCATCATCACTATCATCGTGTCATGCCTTTATGCATCACAAAGAGCTCAGTCTATAGTCGAGAAGATCAACTTCCCTACATCAGGTTTTATACCATATGACTCGGTCTCTCTCTGCAGAACAGCTAGTCACCTCCCGAGAGCGTCGCACAGAGCAACAGCTTCCTAGCTCCAGTGATGATCCCTAGGGATCTCTGTACAAACTGCACTCGTAAAGTGAAGGGGCAGCAGTGAACTGATGACTTTCAGAGCGCGAGGCAAACGGGCTTGACCACTTGACCACAGAGACCCCCCCCCCCCCAGTCTAATCCTCCATTCTCTTCTATCCTAGGCAATTCTTGTGATATCAGGATGGAATCCAGCCTAGCATCTTTGACCACTCTCAACAAAGTTCGTCTTATGGTTTCTTTTGGATGTTTGTATGACCTCAATCCCTTTGTTTCCCATTTCAGTGCTTGTCTGATAATTCTGTGCTTATTCCTCTTCTTGATGTGCCCACTATACTTGATGTGCCCACTATACTTGATGTGCCCACTATACTTGATGTGCCCAATATACTTGATGTGCCCAATATACTTGATGTGCCCACTATACTTGATGTGCCCAATATACTTGATGTGCCCACTATACTTGATGTGCCCACTATACTTGATGTGCCCACTATACTGGCATCTTATTTGTTCTATCACTGATGCCAGGGCGTGCTCAGTCGCTTAGTATGCCATGATGTTATGCAGTCTTAAGGTGTCAGTGACTCCTTCAATCCATTGTTGGATTCTCATTTCTATCTACTTTACCATTGTGTGTATAGGGACATTAATACTACTAAATAAGACTCACTGTTATTAATATTATCTAAATACCCATTATACGGTAACTGTCATAATCACATCTCAAGTTGAGAACAGCAGCAGTAGTAGTAGTAATTTCTCAAAAATATCCTGTTTAACCATCATGGTTATAATTGGCATATATAGTGTTAATTGATCTCTCAGAGTATATATTCATTATTTAATATGTATATATCACGTGATTATTTAAATAAACGATGTGTAATTTGTAATGTTTCACATATTGCCTTGTTCTGAGTTATGATTATGATAGAAACTGTACAAGGAATAATAAGACAATCTTATAAACATTGTGTTAATAGGCAATGTTTGAAATAATAATGATACAAATTGCATAAATATCTGAAAGAAATAATTTATACAATATATAAAATAACAAAGATCCTCTGAAAAGTCAATGAACACTTGATATCCCAATTATAATCCTAAGGGTTTAACAGGATATTTAAATATGTTGAAGTACAATTTACTCTACTACTACCACTGCTGCTGCTACTACTAGTAGTATTATTGTTGCTGCTACTACTGCTGCTGCTACTACTACTATTGCTACAACTACTGCTGCTACTACTACAATTGCTGCTACTACAACAACTACTGCTACTACTACTGGCATGAAATATCTGGTACTGCTGCTACTACTACTGCTGCTGCTACTACTACTGCTGTTACTACTACAACTGCTGCTACTACTACTGCTGTTACTACTACAACTGCTGCTACTACTACTGCTGCTACTAGTACTACTGCTGCTACTACCACAACTGCTGCTACTACTACTGTTACCACAACTACTGTTACCACAACTGCTGTTACTACTACTGCTGCTACTACTACTACTGCTGCTACTACTACAACTGCTGCTACTACTACAACTGCTGCTGCTACAATTACAACTGCTACTACTACTACAGCTGCTGTACTACTACTACTGCTGCTACTACTACTGCTACTACTACAACTGCTGCTACTACTACAACTGCTGCTACTACTGCTGCTCCTACAATTACAACTGCTACTACTACTACAACTGCTGTACTACTACTACTGCTACTACAAAACAGTAGTATTAGTAAAGACTACGTTAGTAACATTAACAACATTTAAGTTAAGATTTATGTAGTAGTAGTATTAGTAGTAGTAGTAGTAGTAGTAGTAGTAGTAGTAGTAGTAGTAGTAGTAGTAGTCTGGTAGTAGTAGTCTGGTAGTAGTAGTAATAGTAGTAGTAGTAGTAGTAGTAGTAGTAGTAGTAGTAGTAGTAGTAGTAGTAGTAGTAGTAGTTGTTGTTGTTGTTGTTGTTGTAGCAGTAGTAGTAGTAGTAGTAGTAGTAGTAGTAGAAGTAAGTTTACACAAAAATATTAAACCAAGTGTTAAATTTAAAATATATAATGATTAATATAGTGTGTATTATAAAGTTTCCATTTCAGTACTAAGGTTTTAGTCAATTTTTTTCATCAACAAAAAATGTTTCAAAAATGATAATGCAGTAACTAGACGTTACTTAGTATCTACTCATTTCTATTCTACTTCAACAAATCTATTTGTTATTTAAACAGTCACAAAGCATACACATGTTCAGACTACATACTTGGACGTCTCTGAGACAGTCGTCACCTGGTAGGAGGTTTTTATCTAGCGATGACACAGCAACTTTCCAGGTCTGACCTAAGATTGAGGTTAATATCCTTGTCTGTTCGTGCTAACTACTAAACACTTAACAGCTTACATAATCAGCTGATATGATACAGCATACCAGAGGCCGGGCACTTACACAAGACTAGAACTCTTCAATGGAGGTACAGAAAGGTAGGCGCTATACGTGATTCTTGAAGAGGAAGATCATGATAGTATCTCCAAAGGCGCTGAAACCTGGAGAACCCCAGGAACCAACACTGAGGGCCCTCAACCCACCCCCACATACAATAATATTGGGGGGGGGGGGGTCTGTATGAGTATGAAAGCTTCTACACTCCACCCCCCCCCCCTACGCTCAGTCATGTATAAATGTTTTTTGTGTCTGTTGTAAATTAAATGTGGTCTCTGTGGCTAAGTCGATGCGAACGCATTCGTAATGCCCGGGTACCGGGTTCGATCCCAGCTGCGCATTGCGTTGGTTTCGACAGTGGTATCAGGGGGCCGACCATCCAGAGGCCACACAACAGCCAGAGGCTGCTGGGGTTGGTTCTGCAACGTCCTATAAAGGATACGGAACTATAAAGTAAATATCTGTTCTCAAAAACATCCTCATTTGACATTCAGTAGGTTATTATTATTATATATTTATTATAATTATTATTATTTTCAGTTAGGCAACGATTGACCCCTACCACCCCTGTATATATATAAATGTTATCTTTTCAAGCATTTGTTCAGACGTTTACAGTTATTTTAAATGTAATTGTTTTATTGTTCTCTGTTCAGCACTTTTATTATTGCTCAACCAAACAAGGCATGAGCACTATGATGGTCCCTCCAATAATTTCCTAATGGTAGTGGCGACCGCAGGGGACGGGGCGCTTGAGCCTTGTTTAATTCTACAGTAATAATGAAAAATACTTATAATTATTGTGAATTAGACAAGGTCCCTCCTCCGCTCCTAGAAAAACTATAGGCGGTGCTGAGCAATTCCCTGTGATTTTTTTTCTCTGTGGTGGCGAGCATCCAATCTCGAAACAGGACTATGGGCTGTAACCGTAGGGGGTGCTATAACGTGGTCTCGGTGCACCCTCCCAGTGCACCTCCCACCCCACCCCATCTAATGAAAGCCCTGACTACAACATGTACACTCCCAGTACACCTCCCACCCCCCCCCACTACAACATGTACACTCCCAGTGCACCTCCCACCCCTCCCCACTACAACATGTACACTCCCAGTGCACCCCCCCCCCCAACTACAACATGTACACTCCCAGTGCACCCCCCCCCCCTCCAACTACAACATGTACACTCCCAGTGCACCCCCCCCCCCCAACTACAACATGTACACTCCCAGTGCACCCCCCACCCAACTACAACATGTACACTCCCAGTGCCCCCCCCCCCCACCCACCCTATCTAATGAAGGCCCTGACTACAACATGAACCGTGGAAGTTGCCCAACTCCCACCCTTAATTTAATACAGGCCCTGACAACAGCATGTACCGTCCCAGTACACCCTCCCACTGCCCTCGCCCTCCCCCCCCCCCCGGGGCGGTAGCTGTCTTTTGGGATACAGTGTTTTAAGGCTAAGGTTCTTCTTCGTCGAGCGCCTTAGATTCTTACACAAAGCTTGGATCCTAAGCAAACTATAGCTAAGTTGTCCTAGTCTTCGCCATGTTGTACAATTGACCCCTTGTCTTCCCTGTGCTTTTCCACCTCAGTCTATTCCAGTCTAACTATGAAGACAAGTGATTGATGACAGCCAGGTTAAAGCATTTTTTTTTTTTTTTGAAAAACATTTACTGGTCAATTTTGTATGTGTATTTACAAGTGTTGCCTTTTGTCTGTGTTTGTGTTCAATGCTGTACACAATCAGAAACAGACATGTTAACCATACTAATAAACTAAGTTATAATTTTTAACATGTTCAAATTGTCTAAAGAAGGGTTTGTTTCTTTACAATGGGCGAATGAGGGGGTCTGTTTCAGCTTTATTTCAAATGAGGGTTGGGGGGGGGGGGGTAATATTTTGGGGATTATTTTGGCTATAATTAGTTAGTATC